ATTCAGACTTGGAGACAGACCTCTGTGGCCACACAGCTAGGCAGGGAAGAGTAAATAATATTGTGGTGATAATTTGCCTAAAGATCAGAGGACAGAGCTAGCCACAGAGTTAGCCACAGAGGTCAGGCAGTGGTGGCACACACCTTTAATCCTAGCACTCGGGAGGCAGAGATCCGTCTGGATATCTGTGAGTTCAAAGGCACCCTGGACTACACGAAGATTAATCCAGTTTAAAAGAGAAACAGCCAGGCAGTGGTGGCACACACCTTTAATTCCAGCACTTGGGATCATACACCTTTAATCCCAGTACTTGGGAGTCACACACCTTTAAATTTTTAATTTAAAACTAGGAAGGTTGAGACGGGAAGTGATACAGCTGGGCAGAGAAAGGAATATAAGGCGGGAGGAGACGGAAGTCAGCCCCTTTCAGCTGAGGACCCAGAGGTATTCAGTCTGAGGGTTCATGGAGACAGGGTCTTCTCTTTTCGGCTTAGTAGCTGGCGAGGTGAGAAGTGACTGTAGCTTGTTTCCTCTGATCTTTCAGCATTTGCCCCAATATCTGGCTCTGGGTTTTTATTATAAGACCATTTAGGACTGTGCGACATAATATTAGAGATGTCACCAGAGAATAGGAAGAGAGAGGAACACTGGGCTATAGGTACCACATTCATCTTGTTCTGAGCTGCACATGTCTGTTGTGTGATATTTTTGTGTGTTCTGACAAAGCTTGCCTGGAGATCAGAGGGTGGAGCTAGCCACTAGTTAACCATAGAGGCAGGCTGTGGTGGCTCACACCTTTGATCCCAGCACTTGGGAGGCTCATGCCTTTAGTCCCAGCACAATCAGGAGATGGAGACAGGAATATAAGGTGGGTGGAAATAGGATCTCGGGCCCTCTTTCCATCTGAGGATTCATACAGATAAGTCTCTAGAGGCTGTTGCTCTGCTTCTTAGATCTTTCAGTTTATTATCCTGATATTCGACTCTTGGTTTCTATTGATAAGACTAATTTGGATGACGCTTCACCCGTCACTAGCATTTAGAGGCCAATAGTATTTCAATCCATTTTCCTTGATCTAAAATCTTTAGAATAGCATCGTTTTGTTGTTATTGGTTTGCTTTTGTCAGTGATAAATGAAAGTCTCCTTTAACTTGAGGGAAAGTTTCTTGCAAACATGTTATTATTTTTTTTTTCTCTTGAGGTAGAACAGGGGCAGCCGCTGTGAACTAGCTAGTGGTCACCGTATGAGGCACAGCTCTGTGTCTTCATCTCTACAGAAAGTTCCGGAATACACTGGCCTGAGATCTTGGGCACAGCCCAGAATGGTGGAAAGCTGGCTTGCTCTAGAGCAGCTCTTCTCAACTTGTTGGTCGTGACCCCTTTGGGGGTCTGCACATCAGATAGCCTGCATATCGGATATTTACATTATGATTCACAACGGTGGAAAAATTACAAAATCACAAAATGAATTAGTAATGAAAATAATTTTATGGTTGGGGGAGTCACCACAACATGAGGAACTAACTGTTTTAAAGGGTCACAGTGTTAGGAAGGGTGAGAACCACTGCTCTATAGCCTGTCTCTGGGGAGTAGGGGATGTGTGTTGTTTGACATGTGTGTGTGCATGACCCCACCACGGACCCCAATGTCTCAGACCCACCAGAATGAATGGTCAAGCCTTTCCCTGGTCTTTGTGCGAATGTTAGTGTGTACAAAAAGTTTCAACTGCAGCATCCCCCTGAACGTATACAGCCTGAGACTGCTCTCTCCTAATCCTTCTACGGAGACTAGCTAAACCGGCCACCTCCTTGTTCCACTGTGCACAGTAGATCTGCCTCCTTGTTCAGCCGTAGACATCAAACCTGTCACCCTAATTCAGATGTATAAGAGAAATGTGCTGAGTTTCTGGGTTACTGTGCCTCCATCAGAGTGCCTGGCCTACTCAATCCCAGGGTTCTGTGCATGTGTCTGTGTGTCAACCTTTTTTTTCCAATCTCTGTTGTCTGAGTTAGGTCAGTCACTGAGCCCTACAGAGCACAGCTCCTCTCCTTGATGACAGAAGGCATTGCCTGAGTTTGTGCCGTTTTCTTGTGTAGCAACAGAGTAGAAATGATGTTGTTGATGATGAGGAGGAGAAAGTGGAGGGCCCACATTTACTTACTATGTAACATGTGCCAGGGTGCTAATGTTTGAAATACGCACAACATCATTTACCAGCAATCACAATCCGGAGGGAAATACCACTATTATTTCCATGTTAACAATGTGAGAACAAGTTGAGGAAAATTGTTACCACATAACTATTAGGTCATGCCAGATGAAATTGCCAATATTCATTCATGTTTGATGAAAATGTCAACTTCATATGGTTCAACTTTGTGTAATACATTGCAGCATCAGCTTTAAAATCCAGAGCAAGCTCATTGTAAGCTTTGGTGAGTGACCAATGAAACCTCTGTAAAGCCGCCCAAGTATTAAAGAAAATAACGTTCCTGTGACTGGTGCACAGTGACGCTGCTCACAAAATGTTCTTTTTTATGTCTGGGTTAATTTCATTCTGCCTGTCATTCTTACTGCCTGGGGGAGGCAGTGCACAGCTGTCTGAACAGATGTGGCCAGTGAGACTGGGAGGAGGTCTGTTGCTATTGACTAGATCCCAGGGACCTGGAAAATCCCAGCTTTGTCATTAGCACCCCCCATCCACCCCCCAGCCCCCATGCACCCCTACTCCTGTCTCAGGGCGACTGCCTTATCCGTTGTGTTAGGTGGATATATGAGCTGACTCAGCTCACAGGATTACTTCTGGCAAGGAGACTGATTCAAAAGCCCTCCTCTTTTTAGTTGGCGAGAAAGAAGAGATGATTCCCTGGCAGAAGGGTGTGCTCTTTGGGTATGGTATTAGGACATGGGCGTGACTACATGAAGAAATTTTGCCTCTGAAAAACAGCAGTACAGGACTGCAGATTTAACAAAGGAAAATGCCCGACTTGCAGTTAAAGTTGAATGTTAGGAGTATATACTATGCAATATTTGGGATATATTTCCATTAAAAATGGTTCCTTGGCTAAAATTCAAGTTTACCCCATGCTTTGGTTTGAACAGCTCCCTCTGTGAGTCAGGTATATTGTCAGTGTAGCAGTATTAGGAGCTGAGGTGATTAGGGCTGAGGAAGCCATGAGGCAGCTCCTTCATGAGTGATGGACTCAAGGCCTTCATAAGATGCTTGGCCGCAGCAGTCAATGAGCTTGTCTTTTGCCATGTTAGGATACAATCCTAAGATGCACCAAGGAGGCATCATCTTGACCCACAACCCAACCTGCCTGTGTCTTCATCTTGGACTTCTAACCTGCAGAGCTGAGGGAAATAAACATACATATTTTTATGTATTGCTCAGCCCACAGTATTCTGTTACAGCCCTGCAAAACACTTCTAATTTGCCACTGCAGTGAAACACCATGGCCAAAAATAACATGGGAGGGAAGGGTAGATTTCATCTTACTTTTCCAGGTTGAAATTCATCCTTGGGAGAAATCCTGGCAGGAGTTTGGAGCAGAAACCATGTGGGGAATGATGCTTGCTGGCTTACTCTCTAGCTTGTTCCCTGGATCATGTTCATCTCGCTTTCTTCTGTATCCTAGACCCACCTGCTAGGGATGATGTCGCCCACGGTGGGCGAGGCTCTCAAACAATAGTCATCTGTAAGTGCCAGTACTTACTCACTGGACCAAGATTCCCTGCAATCATCAATCAAGATAGCCTGTCACAGACACAGCCATGGTCACAGGCCACTCTGATCTGAGAATCTCACAAGTGATTCTAGGTTGTGTCAAGTTGACAGAATTAACCAGAACAGATGTCTTGACCTCCTAGATGTAGTAATCTTAGAACAGTGCACTTTTGTCCACCCTTCAGACACTACATCATAGTGTATGAAAGCCACATATTTAGATTCCAACAGAGCCTTGTGCATCAGGTGAACATAGGCATAAAGCCCAGTCACAATATTTTAGTGGCTAGGTGAATGTACCTGGATCATTTAACCTCTCTAAGCTTCCATTTCTCATTACATAGAAAAACCACAGCATTTAGTTTAGGGATGTATTGAGGGTTATATGAAGTTACAAACTGTATGTACAGTCCCTAGCATTTGCCACTGTCAAAAGTACAATTACTCTTATTTATGATTGAGCTGGGACAGTCATACTCTGAGAGGACAGGGGCAAATCTCTGTGTGCTCTGTCCAAATGAGCCTTCCATTTCAAGACTTTGAGTTACAGTAGCCCTGTGGACCCAGAAAGGAATGAAAAAGAATGATCTTACCGGGTGGTGGTGGCACACACCTTTAATCCCAGCACTCAGGAGGCAGAGCCAGGTGGATTTCCATGAGTTTGAGGCCAGTCTGGTCTACAGAGCAAGCTCCAGGACAGGCACCAAAACTACACAGAGAAACCCTGTCTCAAAAAAACAAAAAACAAAAAAAAAAAAAAAAGAATGATCTCAAGGAAAGAAATGATCCGAGGGCACTGATGGCCAACCCTCAGTCTAGGGAGGTCCTTCCTTCAGTGTTTATCACACAGTAATTGTTGAAAAGGCAGGTTTGCTACCCCACCCCTTTTCTGGAAAACAGAATGGAAGATGGAAGTCTGAGTTATGAATGAGGACGGGGGTGGGGGGATGCTCCTCCTTTCAAGGGAGGGAGAAATTCACAATTACAGGCACATTTTATGGACCAAGTTTGGGTTCCCATAGTAATTCTAGACAGAGATTCCTCAGCATTGGCCTCACTGACATCTAGTAATTTGTAGCGCAAGGGTCTGCCCTATGCACCGTAGGGAGTTCTGTAGCATCCCATGCCTCTAATCTACTAGGTGCTGGGAACCTGCCTTTTCCTCTGTCACTAGAGTGACAATCAAGAGCATCTCCAAACATGACCTGGGGGACAAAAATTGCCTTTGGTTTGAACCACTGGTGGAGAACATAATTAGGCAGTACCACTCAGACACTTTGAACAGCCATCACATATTGAGCACGTACAAGGGTTATCTCCAATCCCAATACTCAGATTAAGAGGTAAGTGCGACTTTGTACATCTCACAGTTAAAGAGACCGAGGCTCAGAGGGTTGAAGTAAGTTCCCATAAATCTCCGAGCTGGTAGATCTGGGATCCTGACTGAGAGGTTGGTCTGACTCCAAAGCTTACATAGCTCTTGCTGTAACACTCCATTCTCTGGAAAATTAAGAGCCCTCCCTCCTTCTTTGAACTAGGAAACCTCATCTCCCGTTAATTCAAGTCTAAAAATACATATTGAGCTGGATGCCATGAAAAGCTAAAAGAGATAGCTAAAATGTTGCCCCCTTGGAGCCATTTCCAGTACCAACGTCATCCACAAACACAATCCAGTTGAAGAACAATGTGGGGCATTTTGAGTTTGCACCCAAATGAGCATTCCTAGCGTTAGAACTTTGAACAGAACACTCTTTGAGTGTGCCAGCTTCACATGCCCCTTTGCTGCCAGAGGGGACCATAATTTTAAAAGAAGCAATGAAGCTTTGAAGTTCTTGGGGTCTAGCAGCCTTGGGTCCTAATGAAGTATTAATTCTCATGCCTTGTGGTGGGCTGTGTGTTGCTTCCAGATAGACATTCAGCCATCTTCTTGGTGGCTCTCTTCATAAAGTTCACCTTTCCCCGCTCCCTACGGATGGCGGTGTACTCGTAGGCTTTGAGCTTGCTGTAGTAATCAGAGAACTTGTTGTAGAGGATGGAAATGGGCATCCCATTGAGGATAATCCCGAAAGCGATGCAGAGGAAGGCAAAAAGCCTGCCCAGGTGGGTCTCTGGGTACATGTCTCCATAGCCCACAGTGGAAATGCTTACCTGTAAAAAAGGAAAGCAGAACGGAACGGTTAGCCCTAAGAAGGAAGAGAAAGGGAGAGCAGCCTGCAGTAAAGAGCCCTGTCACCCTGTACATGCACAGGGGAACTGTTAAGAGCTCCCAGGGGGCCAGCTTTCAGAGTGGCCTGAAGGACTGTGGAAAGAATGCAAGCTGTGGGGCTGAAAGGCTCGTTTAAATCCTAACTATGACACACCAATGTTTTTATATGCAGCACAGGGAGACACGATCCACTTTAAAGAGCTGGAGGACCAAGCTTTATGTACCATATGTTGAATTCCTGTCATAGAACGAGTTCAGTAATTGTCTTTGTTTCCACACCTCTTCTAGGCTGTGTTAGGACAGGGGGATTCCCTGGAGTCACCTTCATCATGAATGTCTGAGAAAAATCTTGAGCTTAGAGGCAATCTGAATGGTGTTCAAGTCCAGACTGACCCTTCCGAGCTGGTAGGTCTTGGGACATACATTCAGATGCTGGACCATCTCTCAGAGGTCTGCAGAGCTATATACAAAGCAGTGGGCACAGTATCAGGCACCCAGGGCAATGAACACTCCATTGTGCTCCCCTCATCTTTGAAAGGAGACAATGATAGCATTGCTCAGAGCTGCTGTGTAGTTCAATTGTTTTTTTTTTTTTTTTAAATGGAGCTGCTTTAATTGTACTCATCTAGAGAAACACACTCATTACTTTGTGAAGGGACCTTCAGAAGACCTCACAGAGCAAAAATACGTTCACCCTTCATGAAATTCCTTTCATCATTCTTGACACACTGTTTTAAATCCCACTAATTAGAGATTTATTTAGGTTAACAAGCTTCCTGTTTAAAATGCAGATTCCCATGGGACTAGTTATCACTTAGTATAGCCAGAGAAAACCCTGGGGAAACCCCCTGGGGACTGTTTTTATGCCTCATGTGCTTCCATTGGTCCCCAGACTAAGTCACTAGGAGCCTCTGAAGCAGGGCTGTTGCTTACTGTAGTAAAAATATCCTCTTGCCAGCTCCAGGGGTGCTTGCTGCTCCTCGGATTTGTGTGATGGATGTCCTGGTCTTCCAACAGATGGCGGTAATTATACAAAGTCACTCCCTTGCCACACTGAGAAGGCCTTTGGCTCAGAAACGTAAGCACTGTTGTGCTGATGACGCAAGAGTTAGTTTGAACTTTCAAATGTGGTTGATTGATTGGAATGAAATGGAGAAATGAGCCAGCTGGGCAAAGCTGGCACTGATAAGAGCCACGGAAAGGGAAGGACAGGTCCCAAGGCTCACTGCTCCATCTCTGTCAAGAGAACTACCTTTTCCCAGGGCAGAAGAACACACGCAAGCCTAACAGAGGTAGGATGGCACAGACAGGGTTAAAGAAATAACTGGGCCGGGCGGTGGTGGTGCACGCCTTTAATCCCAGCACTCGGGAGGCAGAGCCAGGCTGATCTCTGTGAGTTCGAGGCCAGCCTGATCTACAGAGCGAGATCCAGGACAAGCACCAAAGCTACACAGAGAAACCCTGTCTCGAAAAACCAAAACAGCAACAACAACAACAACAACAAAAAACAAAACAAAAGAAATAAGGACTGTAGCTAGAAGTTTCTCCAGTTCTGCCTGGGTCCTGCAGTCCCGTGGCCTGCTAATAAAATAATCACACAGAAGCTTAATATTATTTATAACTGCTCGGCCATCAGCTCAGGCTAACTACTGACTAGCTCTTACACTTAAACTCAGCCCATTTCTGTTAATCTATATGTCACCACATGTTCCGTGGCTTTACCTGTGTGCCATTACATGCTGCTCCCTAGACAGCAGGCTGGTGTCTCTTGACTCAGCCTTCTTCTTCCCAGAATTTTCCTTGGCTGCTTATCCCTGCCTGGCTACTGGCCGATCAGCATTTTATTAAACCAGTGTACAAAGGCATTATCTCACAGCAAGGGATCACACTTGACTTCCTGGGTCTGAACCTACTTCACAGTTGTGTGAGTTTTGGGCAAAGCAGTTAAATTATCTCTGCCTCAGTTTCTATTTTTGGCATATGGAGATAATAATAGTACCTACTTGGAATGATTGTAATAGGAATCAAAGGTGTCCCTATCCACAGGCTGTGGGAGCATATGCCTGAGGGAGACCTGAGGGGTCCTCTCTTAAAGCTAGCCCCAGCTGAAGAGAAGCAAACACAAACACTTATGGAGTAATTCTCCACCAGGAACTTGACCTCTTCTGTCTAATAGACCCACAAGCTGTAGAAATAGGACCGTCTAGACTTTGGCTAAATTCTGGGTGAGGGAGATTTCAGCCAGCATTCCCCATGGCTTTGGTAGAAGATATTCTTTTCCCATACTCTGGATGAAAACATAGGGATGAGCAGAGACCATGTTACACTTCAGTTCATCTCCACATCTGCCTGTGTGTCTGCATATATGTCTTGTCCCTGTCCATACCAGAGTCAGACCTCTCTCCACGTGTGCAAGCCAAGCTGTACTTTTCATCTATCACAAACACCATCACTTACACTCCAGGATGACCATGCAGTCATTGATTTTTTTGTGGAGGCCACTGAAGAGAGTTTGGTTACTGAGACAAGTGATGACAGGAAGGGATAGTTTTGGAACATTGCACAGCTCCAAAGGAGAAGGCCCTGCAGTCAGCCAGACACACAAGGGTCCAACAGTGAGGAAAGGGTTGGGGAGACAGAGAGGAAAGGAAGTGAGTAATACAAAGGGCTGTTATTAAGCTTTTGATTAACTCCCAAACTGGCTTAGCTTCACCCCCAACCTTACTTTCTTTAAGTTTTGTTTCCCATAAATTATCAAGATCTTTTTAAATTTTATTTCTTCTTTTTTCTTTTATTTCTGGTATGAAAATATAATTACAATATTTTAATTTTTATTTTTTGGATAAAATTTGAGTGAAAAGTCAAAAGCAAATTGTTTTGCCTTAAACAAAAATATCTGAAATACATAATCAGGTATGAGAAATCTTGAGTATCTTGGATCTCTAGTTTCAGAGAAGAGACCTCTCCTGCTAGGAGGCTATGTGTATCTGGTCCCTAAAAATATGTTCAAAATATAGAATTGTTTTGCTGTCTGTTTTGAGGATAATTTTATTCAATATGTAACCTTGTTCTTTTTTATTTATTTATTTTTGAGACAGAGTCGCACTATGTAACTCTGGCTGTTCTGGAACTCACTATGTGGAGCAGGCTGGTCTAGAACTCACAGAGATCCACCTGCCTCTGTCTTCCAAATTCTGGGATTAAAGGTGTGTGCCCCTATGCCTAGTTTGTAATTTTATTTTGTCCCTTGCCTCGGGGTAAGATTTAGGATTTCTTGGCTTAGGGAATTTTCTGTAGATTACATAGCATATATCACATCTTCATAGATGGTATTAAAACAGAAGACCCCAGACTGACCAAATGACCTTACAGAGTGAGTTCTCCCATTAGCAGAAGATGAGTTTGGAAATGGAACCAAAGTGTCTGCAAAAATCTAGCAAAACTGGCTTTTTAATCAGTCTTAAACTGGAAGCGGACCATGCTACTGAAAACTTACAGCTTTCCCCTAGTTTTGTGTTTCAAGACTCAGAACATGACTGTCCCATGACAGCTCCCTCATTAATCAACAAATCCTGGCCTGCCAACCACTGTTCAGACAAGCATCAGGGTTTCCTCTGAGACAGGAATATCACACTTGAATTTCTCCTTCAACAAACAATGTTTGTTTCCCTCATGAAAAATAGGGCATAGATAAAATGTCTTGGAAGCCAGTAGTTCATGCATCTAGGAAGTATGATTCCAGGAAATAAACCTAATTAAGAAAATAATTAGTACCCCTTCGGGTTTTCCCAAAGAAGAGAGCCAGTAAAGGCTGTTTTCCCTCTTAAAACTATGCTCAACAGTATATGTTGTCTTTCAAAGGCTATTTATCCATGCTACTGTTGCAACAAATATTTCTTTTTTGCAAATATTTCCTCTAGGATTATAATCTAATGAAACAATTCAGATAGGTAAAAGTTGCTGTACCCATCCTGCTAATTAATCTTGATGTCAGTTGCCTACATCAAATACTGAATGCAATCACTCTGGGGGCAATTCCTCAAAGTATTTTGTAGTAAGAATGAGATTAACACTCTGAACATTGACTTTCATTTGGATGTTATGGTATGCTACAGTTTTAACATGAGTGTAAGTGGTACAGAAAGGAGGAGATTGGCCCAAGCTAAGGCAAACCACAGATGCAGGTCCAGCAATCTACCCACACAGAGGCAGACAATAAAGATGCCCTATGCATCTTCAGCTTATTAAACACCTCTCCATCCCTTTGATGCTCACTCACATTCCATTGAAGTCATCTTGAACAAGAGGAGAAACATGCTTTAAAGACATAAAAGGGGCCCCTAAGATACAAAACAAACAAACAAACAAAAACAAACAACAAAACTGGTGTCTTTGAGCTGTTGCCTCACTTATAACTGTTTCTGAACAAGCTAGAACTTCAGTACTTTCTGTACCAGATATTACAGGCAGTCCAGTTCAGCCCCAAGCTTGGTGCCCTTTTCTTTGATTCTCCAACTGGGATTCTATGGCCTACATTTCCCAGTTTCCCTTATTGGCTGTTTTTCAGAGCAGAGGCACATTTGGGAGACTGGGAGGTAAGAAGGAGGTAGGAGGGTCTCTGTGGTTGACTCTGATTTCCATCATCATCATCATCATCATCATCATCATCATCATCATCATCATATGGCTCAGATAGTTTGAACCTCCCAGTCCTCCCAGCACCAGCCTCAAGGCGCCACCTTGTAGATCTGTGCACAAGCTCCACATGGTCCTCCTCTGTAGGCCCAAGTCTGATAACACTACCGTCTCCCATCTGTTCTTCCTGTTCTAAGGCCAATAGTTGTTCTCTCCATTTGCTACTTTTTTTCTGTTACCTTCCTAATAACCGTGCATCTTTTCCCTCAGCAAATCCTCACCTTGATTTCCATTTTCCTGACTGTAC